AAAACAGCTTCTAGAGTCCTCCGTAGCCGGACAACAACCTGTAGCTCAAAATCGCTAAAACTAGGAAATCAAAAACTAAAAAAAAGTTAATTCAAAATTTTTGGTTCTTTTATGCACCAAATGATTTGTAGTAATTCATCTTAAATTATTTGAATGCGTTTTAAATGCATAAACTTAAGTTTTATTCCCAGGCCAGATTTGCAAATCTCAGGTTTAAAATTCTGGGGCTTTAGTAAACGGCTTTGCGCACAATGAACTGCTTGAGATCATAACTTTATCCTAGACCTAGGATCTGGTGCCAAAAAAAGGCTTGTAGAGCAAAAAATTCAGAATATCGGGAATTTCTGGGTTTTTAAATGTGTTGTAAAGCGGTTATCACAGAGTAGCATGATTATTTTTTCAACAAAGAATCATTTCTTGTGCGTCAATGACACATCAAAAAAAAGCTGCCAAGCTGTAAAATTCATGCTTACATACAGTTGCAAGTGAAAAAGTAAACTTCTGTACACTATACATTACCTAGAAGTGAAAGACGATGGAGATGCGTAAAGCTCCAAGCTAATTTCCTGTATGTATTGGCGCATTCACCAGCTGCGTGTCCACTTTAAGTGGCCAGAAAAACGCAATGTGAAGTCAGCCTTCGAGTATTTGCTTTGCTGATGCTGCCTTTTGTTTCGTACAACTTCACACATTTCTTGATAACACTCACACATTTCATTATTTTCCCTCTTTTTATGCGTTTTTGCATATATGCAAAATGCAAAAACGCATATTGGCAACAGGCTTGTGTGTATGTGTGTGTGTATGTGTGCGAGTGTGTGTCTGTGTGTTCGCACTTTTTACCATCCACCTTCAACTCGAGAACCAGAAAAGCTAGAAAGCTGGAATTTTGAAAGGACTGTTCTACGCCCAAGTACAACTTAAAAGTATTAAATTCGGCCTCCAAGCATGTGTGGTTCTCGAGCACGGGCATTTAAAAGATTTTGGCAGGAAAATTACTTATTGAACAGCTAGGTCATTTTCAAGGAACACCACCAAACGAAAATTCTTCATTTTCCTTTATGTAAGCTTTACGATGATTTACATTAGTAAGCGCAAAAGGTACGTGTAAAGCAACAACTATTCATGCACTTAACGGCCTGATTACTTCAAGCCAAATGCAAAAACGCATGATCGCAACAGTAAGCCTGGTGCATTCCAATCTGGATTAATGCTAACAGAAGTCATTGCGCATGTCAACTAATTAAGAAGTTTATTGGCAGTACTACGAATGCACAACTGTCACATGAGTTTGGAAAACTGCCAGATGGCTAAAACATTTTGTCTCTTTCTTAAAAATGTGAAAAGAAGATAGACAACTGAGTCACACTCCAGCGTTGCAACCAACCATGATACCTGGCAGCACCGTTTGCTTGCTTGATGATCCACAGCTCACTGTGAGAATCCGGAAGGTAGAAAGGAATAGGTAAGCAGAAGGAGGAAGGAGGGAGAAGGGGGG